AATATACTGTACTGTAAAGTGAATTGATTATGTATTTTGTTTGTGAAAATAGCATTTAGACACATACATCCATCTTTAGAAATCACTTTGATTACACATCAGGAAAAGTACACAATAATAAAGAATAATAATTTGCATTTATATATAGGCTTTCACATAACATAAAAATCCTAAAGTTTAGCATATATACGAAATAAAATAGATCAAAAATGAAAGGGAATGGTGTCAAATGGGCATTTGGGTGCGGTTATTCGTGTGAATGCCGGCGAAATGTTTAAAGTTTGAAAAGATGCATCAGTTTTCCTAACATTGAATCTTAAAATCCTGTGGCTGGAAAAAAAAACTAGCTTTTTTGTTTTAAAATTTTATTTTTTTAAGTCTAATAAAAGTTTTCTTCCCTCAACCGTTGATAAGCTGAGGCAATGAGAGGTCACAATGAGATGGGTCACATTGCTTCCAATAAATCAGGTGACATTCATGGCACTCAGCACAGTGTAAAATGGACACAGAATCTATAGTATAATTGGTCATTAACGCTTCGTCCTGCATCCTTATTAACCCCTTTTTATTGCGCCGTGTCAGAGTTGAGTTTAATAAATCAATAGAAATATGTGTTCAATGGTATTTTCTCTCAGTGTCTTGGCCAACCATCTTCCAGATAAAATTGGTCTTTCACTTCATGGCTGTTTGTGAGACATTGGTGTGCGCAAATTGGCTACCGTGTTTGCCTACAAAATACACAGACACATCAACATCACAATTCAATTCACAGTAAATTCTGTGAAGTGTATTGAGACACCATCCTATTATTCGCAAAGAGAAGGGAATTTATCCCAATATCGTGGCCAACAATCCGCCAAATAAAATTGATATCTCATTTCATGGATGTTTGTGGGATTTTGCTGTGCACAGCTGTGCTGTCGCATTTGCCTACAAACACACAGTCACTTCATTTCACGGTAAATTCCTGTGAAGTCCTTTGAGATGCCCTTCTGACATAATAAGAATTCTGTACCAAATGCAAGGATTACTATTATACCATAGCTACAATCTACTAGCAGCATATAAATCGCAGATATGCTTATCAATGTCACACAGTGCTTGGCACACCTGTTTTTAAAAAATCCACAACAATTAATGCTCTAATTTGATGTAATTTAACAAATTAGAGCATTAATTTGCACAGAAGGTCATGACTGCATAGAAAGTCATGACGACAAAATAAATACCAGTCCATTATTCACACCAATGAAGGCGAGTCTACTTCAAACCCAAACCCTTTTCTGCTTGACCAGAGGCTGAGGTCACATACAGTGGCATAGAGCTGGCCGTGAAATTGAATTGTCCTGCCTAGCGTCTAACAACTACCAGTTTTCCCCTGGGTTAAGCTGAGGTGGGAAGGCAATCAAGCACTGGTCAGACGATGACATCCTCTTTAGAAAATTATTGCAAAGCTCTTTCAAATGACTGAAGCCTGCTTTTCATAGTGCAAAGTCTAATCTGCAATTAAATCCAGTGCAGAAGGCTGTTTTGTTTGACTACCAAAACTGGGGGATAATTGAGGACTGTGCCTCAAGCTTTTTTCCTGTGTGCTAAATCTGTTCCATGCAGCTGAACAGTCTTGCTTTGAAGAACTGGCACCCTTTTATGTTAGTGTAAATAAGTCTCTGTTGAAAACTCTCAAAAAAGGAAATCTGCACATCAAAGGAGTTTTACCAATGCCAACTTGCAAGAGAAGCTTCACGTAGTTCGTTCAGTAAGTAGTGTAATGCCATTTTTACAGCTCTGTTGGGGTGTATGCGTGTGCGTAAGAGAAAGCACAGGAAGTCACCAGCCTTGATCTGTACCCTCACTGCTGTCTTCACAGGATGCATTGATTACCTCTCCCTTGATGTCTCTGACAAGGCTAAGCTATTTATAAAATAGATCAATTCAATATGAGGCTCTTATTCTCTTATCCCTAATCATCACATTTATGTGGCTGGGAGTGTCGGAGTTCCAGACAATGAAATCAAGTACACCGGTTCATTAATGCCTTGGCTGAAATATTGTAGGACTACTGAAAAGAAGCATTGAGTCAATCTTTAAACATATTATGGCCTCCATTTATTTTCACATTGAATTCAGTGTAGATTCAACACTGTAATTGTCAATCCAAAACACCTAGAATCATAGAAATTTACAGGGCAGAAGGAGGCCATTTGGCCCTTCAAGTGTGCACCGGCTCTCAAAGCAAGCTGTTCATTCATTCCCACCTCCCTGAATAAACTGAGAGAATTATAAAAACCTGTATAGAAACAACCAACCTCTGATCTGGGAATTCACTCCAATAGGCTTTTTGGAATAATAATAATAATAATTATAATAACTTGTGCATTTGATATAGTGCTTTATCACATCATTGAGACGTCTCAAAGCGCTTCACCGAATATACTGTGTATTTTACAGGCGAAATGGGATCATCCACGTATTCATCACATCCAGGCTCTACTACACAAACTCCCTGCTTGTCAGCCTCCCCAACTCCTCCGACCACAGGCTGCAGATCATCCAGAACTCTGCAGCTCGTGTCCTCTCTGACACCAGTTCTGCGACCCTGTCACGTCCATCCTCGCCCGGCTCCACTGGCTCCCCATCACTCAGAGAATGCAGTTCAAGATCCTGGTCCTTACCTTCAAAGCCTTCCACGGTCTTGCTCCTCCCTACTTCTGTGATCTCTTAAGCCCCTACCAACCTGTCTGCTCCCCCCGCTCAGCGGGCTCCGGCCTGCTTTACGTCCCCCACCTTGCTCGCCCCACCATTGTCGGGCAGGCCTTCAGCCTCTCTGCCCCACCCTCTGGAACTCCATCCCGCAGCCCCTTCACCTCGTCCCCTCCCTTGCCTCCTTCAAGATCTGTCTCAAAACCCTCCTCTAACCATGCCTGTAGTCACCTTCCTTCCCCCCCTACCCTCCACCTTCCCCGATACCGACACCCAGCCGGGTCCAAATCCTTGACTATTCAGCGCCTTGGGACATCCTCCCGATGTGAAAGGCGCTTTACAAATGCAATTTTGTATTTTATTGTGAGTCACGTGGACAGGTTTACATTTTACATTTTATTCCAAAATAACAGAAAATCCACTAAAAGCAATGCATATAATATTGAATGGAAATTGTACCCCATAGAGCATTACAGCACATAAGCAAGTCATTCAGCCCCATCAAATCTCCATTGATGATTTTCTCCACATGAAACATCTTGTCAAATCCTTCTCTTCTGCTCGTTTCCCATATCCTATAATCTTTCTTTGGGAGCATTTGTGGACTGTGCTTCAATATGAGAATTTGTTTTCAAGACTCTTGTTGATTTGTATGAACTGACAGCAATTTCCTCCTCTTTTTTAAAGAATCAATAGAAATATATGTTTCAAAGGAATTTTCTCCCAGTGTCTTGGTCAAAAATCCGCCAGATAAAATTGGTCCTTCATTTCATGATTGTTTTGTGGGACACTGCTGGGTGCAAATTGGCTGTTGCCTTCACCTTTATCAAACTCAATCTATTTTCCCTCAACACTTAGAGATACATTCTGCTAAACTTACATTTTTTTGTGTATACTAGCAACCAAACCTTATGTAGAAGCACCATTGTTGTTTAATGATGGTTAGAGTTTGTGAGAGCTACATCAATGCTTTAATATACATCTCGGCAGATAATTAAACATGAGTACAGGTAGCTAATCTCCTGAAAATTTTCCCCGGAGGAGAACAAAATCTACGGACTTACCTTTGCTGAAAGTTGCAATGACATCCAAGAAATGATTTGCATTTTTAAATTGACCCATAACGTTATTGACAAATGCATTGTGATGTAAATAAAAGTTTCTGGGAAATTGAATTCTTCTAGATCAGAAACTCAGGGCAAAAGAGTGAGCTGTGCATTTTGAGATCGAAAGGATAAACCTGGACCAAGAAATACTGAGGTTTTGATCAGATCGGCTCGAGTGCCACACACCAAGGCTGCTGCAGACAGCAGCAATGTAGGTTAACTGCTTTCATTCGATCAGTCGTTACTGACCTTTACTATTTCTGGAGCATCTATAAGAAGAAGGTCAACAATCTGTGGCTGCAATAGTGTCAGTGCTGCATTGCAGCACATTGGCATGAGGGAATTGTCCTGCAAGAAGACATCAATAGAAACTTGCCAGCAATAAGCAAGAATGAATATTGCAGCCCACAGTTCAATGCCGTAATCTCATTTCATCTATGGTTATGATGTGCACTGGGACGCTAACCTGCGTGAGGCACTCTATATAAATGCAAGTTGTTGTATATAAATGTTGTTGTAGTTGTTGTTGTGATGTGTGTGTGTACCTATAGATGTGTAGAACCGGTTCTCTGTTGCAGTGATGTTCTTGAAATGGATTTTTTTTCTTCTGTCACAGCTCTGGGTTTTCCAGCATAGCCTCTGTCTAAGTCTAATTAGATCCGACAATCTCAGCTCTTTGTCAGCTCGTGATCAGCTCACGCTTCATTTGAATCCTATGCATTTCCAACATCTTTACTATTCAACCGAGAAAAACAAGCCTGTGAGAAATGGTGGTGTTCAAACGAGACAGTGTTGCTTTGTTAACGCTTATGTCCTCCTCCCCATCTTCCCCCTACCCCATCCCCAACAACCTATTGACTATTTACTTCTGCTCGTGTTTTTAACATGCCAGAATGTCATACTCCTCTCCCCCCAGTGAGATTTCTAGCAATGGGATTTTGCAAGAGCTTTTTGCTGTTCTGGGCTATCTCAAATATTTAAAGAAAGTCGGAGCAGATTTTCGGCAAATGTTGACAGTGTGAATGTACTGAGGCACCAGGGAATTGGAAACCAGAGTTGGTATTCTGACCACATTCATAAGGCATTTCCTGTATGGAGGCACACATGTATCTTGCTGGCCATGACCACAGTACTGCATATTATTCCACTCCTCTCTGCAATGCACTTGTTGTAAAGTATAAGTAATCCAGCAGCTCAAGGGTGGGGAATATTTATTGAGCTTGATTTGTATACCATAATGAAATGTACCCTTGCCAGCAGGTTTTGTGCCAATGTACATTAACACAGCTTTCCTTTAAAACAAAATAATTATTTATCAGTTGGTGTTCAATGGGCAGTGATGGCAGCTCAGTGACAAGTCTCTCTGACAGTCAAAACATTTAAAAAATACACTTTTAAGCCCCACCACAAAAAATTAGATTTTGCTCTTTGCAGACAGTCTGATGGAGTCTGCCCGTTTGCTCATATGTTTTGCACATGCAAGGGTGCATTTTGAATAGTTGCTGTGTGAGAGCATTGCACGGAATGTCTGTTTGCAATCTTGCCCAGCTGTAGAAAGAACTCTTACAAGGAATGAAACTCCACCCAAGTGTGCCTCATGCAATTTTGGACCCGTGAGCCAGAGCTTCATCCTCGTTACCAGGGATTAATATAGACCGAGTTGTCCTCTGTATTCCAAAAAAAATTCCATCATCAACAACAACAAAAACAACAGCAACTTGCTTTTACATAGCGCTATTCAAGCAGGGTAGCGTGAATCATCGGGATCAAGGATAGAATAGGTAAATAGTTTCCTAAAACTTTGGAATTTCCCATTTATGACTATTCCATGATTTGAAGCCTCCTCCTCCTCTCCGTTGACTCGATCACAACAGTTAAGTTCAAATCTGGTGTAAAGATTTCAGTGTCTCTATTTTTGCTGCTGTTAGACAACACAATTTTTGTTGCCAATGGTGGAGCATGGTACTTCAATAACATTAGTTGATCGTCACACTACAAGAGGGATGTAAGAGCAATGAAAAGAATACAGTGTAGGTTTGGTATGATAATGTCAGGACTTTTCTTTACTGAAGAAGAGACGTTTAAGAGGTATTTATAATTATAAAAGGGTTCGATAAGGTTAACATAAATAGCTGTGCGCAATTGACTGTCGCGTTTTGCTGAGAAAATACTTACAACAGGCAAGGATATAAATGAATCGGGGCCAGGCATTTTGTTCAATTTACCTGACTTCTGGGGTTAATTGGCGTCCGACAAAAGCGGATTCCACTTGTGTGAGGGAGAAGGGAATAGAAGGGCATGGAAGGGAGTAAGGAGTGGGTGGAGACTAATGTGGAGTATAAACACCCACACACATTGGTTGGTTATTTATGTACTGTATAGTCAAGCTAAATCTATGTAAATCAGCTTGAGTTAAGTGATCGGGGACAATTGTGGCCACAAAAACGGTAGCACTGAGATCATTTCACAGGCTGTGCCAATAGCACCAACCAATACACAGTCACTACACTTCATGTGAAGCATTTGAGTCACTTTAACAGCATAACAAATGCAAAGATTAATATTATAAGGTGAGGGGGAGTTCTTCACACCCACAGCCAAGTGTTATTAATAAATTGGAAATTGTAGTCTTTCTTAACAGATTTGACATCACAGCTTTTAAAAATATTGCAATTTTCATCTCTATATTTTGGCCCAAATGAAGAGTGACAATGGTATTTGCACTGTGTCATTTCAAAAGACATTTCTTCTCTACTACTCTCCAGAATTCTAAGTATCACTGTGACAGCATCCTGGAAACTCGGTTAAATTAACATTTGCATATCTATTCTGCACTGCAAAGAGCTGCTTTTCACCTCTAAACAGAATAATTAAAACAGTGCCTCGAGTCACTCTGAGACATGTTGCATTGGCACCCACGCCCACACTGATGCACCCTGAAGGAACTGAATTCAGTCTCATGGACACAGGCCTTTAATTGAGAGTTTGCCATGCAGGAGGGGGAAGCAAGTGTTATTAATTTTTTTAAAAATAAGCAGAGCTTCAGGATTAATTTTATAATAATAAGATTTTCATATGAATAAAAGTTGCATATTAAAATGTATTTACCATAAAATTCATTCAAAAGTGATTAATGCTACATCTTGCCCAAATGACAGTATGCATAAGATATTGCTTACATCTGTTGAATAGCACATATTTTTTGTTTTTCGCTATCAATTGCATCTCTTTGTTTATTATTCATATTATTTAACCAAGGACGTTGACAAAGAGTGTACAGTAGCTGAATGATTCTGATGGCACCACAGTGGAGAACAGCCTGAGCAGAACTACATAATATTGACTTAATACATAACATTGTGGACGATGTTAATTGAAGAAGCAATTTAAGTAAAACAAAATAAGAACATAACAAATAATAATAATATTAATCCTTGCATTTTCTATCGCATTTCATCAAATCTTTAGGATGTCTCAAAGCGCTTCACAGAATAGACTGTAAAGTGAATTGATTGTATATTTTGTGGGTGAAGCACATTCACAATTGAATCTCATATGGGAGTATTTGCAATGGGATTTCTTAATAAAGAAATTGCAGGTTTGTCAAGGCTTGGGATTTCTATGTGCATATGTATGTATTCCAGCTCTTAAATAACAACAAATTACATTTGTAAAGTACCTTTCACGTCGGGAGGACGTCCCAAGGCGCTGAACAGTCGGGGATCAAAACAAGCTGCTTTCAGAGCAAAGTTCTTGCAAGTTGGTGTGATGTATTTCCTGTTATCAACAAAAGTCCTCCCTTGTTTTCTTATTGAAGAATCCCATTAGAAATCACCGTGTAATAGATCCCATATATACATTTATGAGCCTTTTTTCTGTTGAATGGAATCGTAAGATCACATTATATAAACAGGTTTGGTCTTCTAATGCTCGCAGCTTGCAGTAGGAGACATGGAAATAGTCCAGGAGAGACAAACTCTAATGTGATTTTCATGCTGGATTTTCATCCATAAGGGCCTATCTTTGACATTATAAGTATAAACTGCTCAATTTCATTGCACTGTAGAAGAGGATTATTACTCATTTTTATTTGTGACCAGTCAGCTGGACTACAGTGGTCTTTTCTGGTCCAATTCGGAATCTTATTTTACCTTGACTTCTGCATAGGAAGTTAATTTCACAAGGGATAAGGATGAGATCAGGTACAATAAGATTGGAGGCCCAAAATATCTCATGGTGTTAGTTTTAAGACTGTTGCTTTACAACTTAAGATCATGTAGAATTCTGGAGAATTATTAATTTGTTTAAAATGGTATCTGCCTGGCTCAGTTGGTAAAACTTTTGGCCCTGAATCAGAAAGTTCTGGGTTAGGACTTTAAACTCAGCGTCCAAGCTGACACTCCAGCTCAGCGCTGGGGAGAGCTTCACTGTCAGAGGTGTCTGGAGAGGCATTCAACTGAGGTCCCATCTGCTTGTTCAGGTAGATGTTAAAGATCCCACAGCACTATTCAAAAAGAGAAGGGAGTTTCCTCCAGTGTCTTGACCAACAATCTCCCAAATAAAATTGATTATTCACTTCATGGCTGTTCGTAATTTTGTTGTTTGTGGGACATTGCTGTGCACAAATTAGGTGCCACATTCACCTACAAATGAACTGTTAATGTGATCCTTTAAATCCTATCTTCTGATGTTTCAATGTTTCTTTTTGCTCCCTTTGCACTAGGCTTGTTTGTTCTTCACTGTGACACAACAGGTTGGCAATGCTGTAGCACAGTGACAGAACTCCCAATACAAAGTGCAACAAATCTTCCAGCATCATTTTTGTTTTGATGCATGGGTTTATCCTAGAGAATGGATTTTTCCCTGGTAGCAAAAACAGAAAAAGTGAATAATATAACTATTATTGCTCTCTATCCTAATTGTTTACATTTTGGATGAGAACAAAGATTTACAGTTATAAGAAAATTAAGCTTTATTTTGAAACACGGTGAAATAGAGCACCAATATAAGACATTATAGAAAACAGGTTGTCAGTTTAACTAAATTGTTGTCACACTTACCTCTGGGTCAGATGATTGTGCATTCACGCCCTATGCAAGACTTAAGATCATAATCTAGGCTGACCCCCCACCCCAGTGCAGTATTGGGGGTTGTGCAGCTGGTCAGGTAAAACCAATCTTCCAGTTTCAGGTAGTCGCTGAAAATCCTGTGATATTGATTGAAAAGAGAAAGAAGTTTCTCTGTGTCTTGGAATAACAATCCTTCAAATAAATTGATTACATTTGCCTGTTTATAGGACCCTGCAGCTTGCAAAATTGCTACAGTTTGTTTACAAATACACATGACAGTAATTACTATAAAGAACTTTGAGTCAATTGCACATAAAGTGCTATAAAAACACTGGGCGCTACATCAAATTCAAATTGTATTGTAAATTGTATAAGTTCTTTCTTTCAATGGTATGTCTTGTACACTGCTGGATTTCTGATCTAGGTATCAACACTATGGGTTCTGTATAGTAGAGGGTCAGGGCTTTCCCACATAGATTGGAATAACAAGCAGCTGGAGAATTATCCTTGTTCTCATGCAACTTCTTTGAAGTTGGTTCAGAACCCCCCCGATAGAACCATTGCTAACCTTTTCAGCCAAAATTAGTGTGTGGTCCAGGCAGGGTAAGTTCAATGGAGTAAATGAATGGAAAGCAGTGCAAAAGGAGGTTATTCTGAAGGAGAGGAAAATGGTTTAAAAGCATGCAGATCACTGTAAGTCTCAATTTGCCCTGCTCGACAATGGCAAATGATTTATCACTAAATTATTCTCAACTTGCAATGAACTGGAAAACCTACTTCAGAAAAACAATTTACGGATATTTGACTACCAGAACTTGTGAATAACTCCAGTGCATTTAGCTGCCGCTAGAGGAAAAAAAACTAGCCCCAGCTTGACATCTCTGCTACCCGAGCCACTGTTACTGGAATATTGCCTGAAATTGGAAATTGTCTATGTCTGAACAAGTGATCAGAGACTTAATCCAAGTTGTTGAGTCCTTTTGATATTCGAAGATCAGCAGGACATCCAAATAATCAATCTGCGGATGAAGCATGAATCCAAAGCCCATCTGCCTGTTCAAGTGAACATTAAAGATTCCACATCACTATTCAAAAAGAGAAGGTTATTATTAATATTATTATTAATACAGGTAGAAAGTGAACTCAGGTTTGGCATTGTCCTTAACCAAATTTCAAGCAAAACGGATTGAAAAGGACAAAGCTCAAAGCTAAAAATATGTAGATCTCATATTCTGGTATCTAAAAACATGGCAAAAATAAGCTAACATTGACTAATGGAGCATGAACTTTCATATGTATTTTTATTCAATGGACTACTGTACCAAGAACTTCCAAAGAAAGTTGCCAGGGAGAAAAGGGATAAGATTTAGGAAAATCCCTGAGTGAAGTTGCAGTATAGGGTTATAATAGATGTCTGGAAATCCAGGCAAAATACAGTGTGCAACATACACAGAAAGAACACATTACTGTAAAATCCTGTGTAGGGCTTTGAGATGTCCTCCTGACATTAAAGGCACTTGTATCAAATGCAAGGATTATTATCATTATTATTTATGAATTCTACAGGAAAAAAATTGTAGCACAAAAAGGTCAGATTGAAACCAGGCTAGGATTATATAAAGTTCACAGAGTCATAAAAAAAAGATAGTGCAGAAGGAGGCCATTCAGCCCATCAAATCTGCATCGGCTTTCAGAGCAATGTGTCCATTCAACACCTTGTGACTTTCAGGGGCAGAGTTGTTTAGAATACTGCAGCACCAGCGAGGAGCAGAGCCAAACCACAATTGCAATGGGAGGTTTGTATTAAATAGGTCTGTGATACCAAAGCTTGATTTGTACTCAAATCCCTAACATGTGAATTTTAAATAAAATTTCTGCAATGTAGATCTTTTGATATAAATTGGAGGGAAATATGACAAAGAAAAAAAACAAAGGTTAGATAAAGCAAATGTGAAATTATAAGGGTTAGATAAAGAGAAGGTGAAATGACAAGGGTTAGACCAGGAGAAAATAAAGGAACATGTGAATTAATGAGGAATATAGGAGAGATGTGAAGGTTGTGAATGGTTTTGATAGGGTAGAAACAGACTTTGAGACTACAGAGATATTTCCACTGATCAGTAATAAAAGGGCAAAGATTAATAATTAACATAAGAATAAAGGATGCATAAAGGATGCAATAGAAGAATTGTTTTTACATGTTGCTAGAGTATGCTCTGTTTGAGTCAAGTTGCTAAAAGCATTGAAAAGATAACTGGATAAATATTTTAAGAAAAATAATTATTAAAGATTATGGGGATAGCAGGGGAATGAGATTAGGTTAGATTAGATTAGATGGCTTCAGTGGCTTCAGTGGGGGGAGTTTGAACCAGCGTAGTCAGGATGGACCAAATGGTCTCCTTTGCTGTAAATATTCTGTGATTCAAATAAAATATCACAAAACCAAAGCTAAAATTGTTAAAAAACACAAAAGTACAAAAGGAATAATCAATATTGCTGAATACATTTTGTGCAAAATGAGTGAAAAGCAAAATGATTACTGAATACCAGAGTAAAGCATTCTGCACACTCTCTGCTGTTTGGAAACTGACTTTGATACAATTTTCATGTTGATTTCATTGACCATTCACTCATCTCTCCACCATTTCGATTTTGCGACGTTTCAAGCAGGTGACACTTTAAATGTCTCACCTCAGTGCTGTGTGAACATCTGAAATAACATAGCACGACTGCAAAATGGCCCAGTCAACATGAGGAGGGTAGATGCAAACACAGACACGTTCCACTGTGTAAATTCAAAGGAACTGTGTAAATCACAATTCAATTAGAACTTCCACTTTAACCCTTTTTTGTGTAGTGCCCAAACATAATCTTATGGGATGACTTAAATATGTTTGGAGACCATGGCATGTGATTTCGAACTGCCAGACTGAATCTGGGTAGTTCACAGTAAACCTTGAAACTTGGTGAAGTATGGGGAATACTAATGGATGCCAAAAAGCTGTAGGCTTTAATTATTTAAACATTTCACATATAAATTTTACTTACCAGAGCGAGCATTGTGCACATGTAGTGCTGGGATGTGTTAGCAGGGGAAGTCTGAACATTGCAGTAAAATCATGTAAACAATCTGAGGGAGAGCCTTACAAGTTAAGTATTCTGTCACGACTCCACCTGCTATTTCGCCTGAGCTCTGGAGCAGTCAGAAACATGGGATGGGAAAAGCAAGGTGAAAAGGCTGTAAAAGGATGTAAATTAGAGGAGTAAAATTAGGTGAATCCTGTAGCTTAATAGTTAGAGAGCTCGCCTCGCAAGCTAGAGGACCTGGGCTCAAGTCCCGAGCAGGGCAAAATGTTGGGCACGTTTTCTTACTCCTCGCACCTCTGTTTACCTAGCAGTAAGAGGAACCCGATTGTTAGTCGATTGGCAGACTGCTTTTCCGAGGGTAATAATTCCTTCAAATAAATAAATAAATAAATAAATAAATAAATACATACATAGAAAAATATAATAATGATTTGGTCATTCAATCCACCGCTGTTTGTGGGATACTGCTGTGCGCAATTGGCTGCTGCGTTTCGCCCACAACATATACAGTCAATTAAATTTACAGTGTATCCGGTGAAGCGCTTTGAGATAATTACATCGGAGATGTGATAAGGCGCTATATCAAATGCAAGGTTTATAATATTATTATTACATTGAAAACGTGTGATACTAAGTGCTTTAGAAAGCAGGGAGCATTAGTCTTGTTGAGGGCTGGACAATGGCAGTGCTATTATTATCCCTTGCTACTGGCTTTGGTGTGTCAGTGAGGCACTGAAATTGAACTTCATGTAAACAAACAATCATATGACTTGTTTGGAAATATAGCCATTTCATCCTAATACAGCTAAACTCACCTCTGTAATGCTGCAGTATCTTGCTATCCTGGCCTCTCTTTGCCCTCTAGTTTTATCAGTGTTTAGGAAACAGCAGTGCTTGTGATTGAGGTTTGGGTTTGGTAGATCTTTTGCATCTTCCCTCTCAGGATTGCAGTTCTATTCTGATGAACTGCTGACAAATCAGACAACTTGTCATTTTGGATCTGAATCATCAAGTCTTAGCTAGATCTGATATAGATTGAGAATGTGTTGGTCCTGATTCATTTGTTTTTCTGGAACAGCTTTTTTATAGTACATCATCCCTTTATTGGGGGGAAATGGATAGATTAAATGCCAGATTGCTGGAACAAGACCATTATTCTGCTTCAGTCACAAGGAAGATTCTCCTTTGGGTTGCTCTTTGCGTAAAGAGAGAAGATAATTTACTGAGTTTTTTAAGCAAATAGATACTTAAAATATAAGTGTGATATATTGTACAACAATTATATTGAAGAATAATGAATCTTATTTGTTTTGGAGGTTTAGGTATGAATTAGTTGCTTTGAACACAAAAGTGTAAAAGAGGAGTTTTTTGTGCTTATTGTTATAAAAGCTGTAATTCTCCTGCAGGCAACGCAGAAGGTGATATTTGCTCTCTGTTAATGCTCTTGAATTAATAAAACCTTGCTTGGGCATAGCAGGCACTATAGACAGCATTATAATTAAAGTCACAGATAAGAAATGAGCAAGGAAGTTCTAGCAAGTGGGAAATCAAGCTTTTCATGTTATGGGTATATTAAATTGCGCATCTGGATTGGTGTTGAGCTCTGTTATATTACCAGTATAAATGTGCTGCATTCATTTGCCAACAATTTAACCAACACACTTGGAAACCATTTTATAGACTGAACAGCTCAGCGAAAGGATTGATGTCTTCACTAATAACTTTAACTCTATCATTTTAAACAGATCCTTAAAGTACTGAGCTTAGCTTGATGAAAATTATTTTTTTTTCACAAAAAATTTGCTCGCCACTTAATATCCAATTAAATTGCTTCCATTTCAAAAACATTTTAGCAAGGGTGTGAAAAGCTAGTGAAAATCAGATTTCAACCTGGGTTCAATTCCAGGCAGAGCGAAACCTTGGGCAAGTTTCCTTACTCCACACGCCTAATAATAATCCCTCCAAGACAAAACAATAATAAATTGGTCATTTTCAATCTACGACTGCTTGTGGAACACTGCTGTGCGCAATTGGCTGCCGCGTTTCGCCCACAAATATACAGTCAATTCACTTTACAGCATATTCAGTGAAGTGCTTTGAGACGTCTAGAAGACGTGAAAAGCGCTATAGCAAATGCAAGGATTATTATTATTATTCTGCGGTGTTTGGAAAGTATTTACTGTGCTAACAAATCACAAACAGTATTTGCAGCACTTGCTTGTTTTCTTGGTGCTGTTCACTTATGTGATTCTCCTCACTGTTTTAACGCCTGCCGCTCAGAATATCTCGTAATGAATTCTGTACGAGTTTGTCAAGATAATTTCTGCAGAAAATCGAGATGGCCATGAGCATTGTGCAACGTGTTGGTGACATCATTCTGCTGCCACTCTGCTGTCACTGGCAGCTCTTTGGTTTCTGACTGATTTCATCTAGCAACGATTTGTGTTTGCAGTAGGCACAGTGGATGCAGGATAACCTACAATCTCGATGGTCTATCAGCACTTCCCCATTCAGTCTAAAGGATGCTGTTTGTGCAAAAATAAAGTGGTAAAATGTGCACAACTGTATCCTGTGCTTCGCCCACAAAGTACAACATAGTTACATAGTTCCTTTCACGTGAGGTAGCGTCCTGGAGCACTTCACAGTGCCGGAGTCTGACAATGAGCCAGGGAGAGAGGGAGGGGGAAGGTGACCATAACCACGATCAAAAAGGAATGTCTTTAGGCAGGATTTGAAGGTGGGGAGGGAGGGGACAAGGTGGAGAGATTGAGGGAAAGAGTTCCAGAGTTTCGGGGCCTATTGGCTGAAGGCACAACATGGCTACCGATGGTGGAGCGTAGGGCACGTCTCAAAGATAAGGCACTTTATAAAATACAAGGATTATTATGAGTGTACACACTAGCCCGAAACAATAGTGGACCAATTGCCCTAGGCAATTCACCTCAGTCTGTGTCTTTCTATGCTTGTAAAGCTATTTTGAGCGATGAACTACAACGTTCATTTGACTAAATGGATATTTTGAATAGTAATAATCCTTACATTTGATATAATGCCATATCGTGTCGTTGGGATGTCTTAAAGTGCCTCACAGAATTTTACTGTAAATGTAGTATTTGGAGATGAACCCATAGCCAATTTATGCACAGCAATGCCCCACAAACAGTCATAAAGTGAACGATCTATTTTATCTGGGGGATTGTTGGCCAGGACTCTAGGAGGTGTTGGGTTCTTTCTACCGTAATTGGATTCTCCCCATTAACCAATAAAGGTCTGAACACAGAGTTGTACAATCAAGACAGTTTATTCAACAATGTAACAGAAATATACTACCAGATAAGCAGTCTTGCCTGATGACCAGCACTCGGCTCAGCAACCTGTAGTTCTTACTCTGTGGAAATCAACTTTTCTTTGTGTGTCTGTTGTATTTATACCCAGCTAGTTGGTGTACCCGTGATCTGCTCGTGATGGTACTTTTCCACTAGCCTGTGTGCCCTGCTGAGACTAGTTTTCCTCCTTATCTAGCTCCTTGTTCGTACTCCCTGTTCTTCGTACTCCCTGTTCTTCCTCAATCAGTATGTTTTCATAACCTTGCATTCCCGTGGTCTCTAGTCAGGCGCCCTAATCATAGGTCGCTGCATATGAGCCATCTATTCTGTTAAACTTTTCTTATACTAAGAGTCCCCATCTTGAGAGTGAGAAATCATTTTATCTATGATTTATTACGCTAGCTATGGTCACAGAAATTTGAAATATTATTTCAGTGGATGTTCTCTCTATCCTTGCCCGTTGGCTTTGAGCATTACTGAAATACTGGAATAAAGTAAATGTTACATAAAATAAATCAGAACAATGACATTCTTAATACTATCACTTCTCCTTCTTCAACTATCACAGTATTTATCTATCGACCCCATCACCGCACGCTCTACCACACCCGACGGTACAAAACCTGCGCGGTTGCCAATGCAGACCCTGTCCTCTGTGCAGGTATTGGCCGCTGTTGTGAAGTAGATGATTGATTGGGTCGTACTTGTCCATTCTCCCCCCAAGACGGTCGAGCTGAAATTGAATGTGAAGACCGGCTTTATGGGTGGGAGGGTAAATGAAGTATAAGTTGTCCCAGAAGAAGTCACTGGAAGGAAAGTGACCTCCAGAGGGTGCAACGAGCCATTGTCAGTAAATCAGAACAATGACATTGTCGATGGTCACATTCCTTTCCTTTAGTCTGTTCTACAAATTCCCACATGGTGGTGCGCACCTGTTATCCGGCTGCTCAGAGGCTGAGGCTGGTTGATCGCTTGAGGCCAGGAGTTCTGGGCTGCAGCGGGCTGTGCCGATCAGGCATCTGCGCTAAGCTCTATATGGTATCTCGGGGGGAGCCCGGAGGCACCAGGTCACGCTCAGGAGGGGTGAACCGACCCAGGTCGGAAACAGAGCAGATCCAGCCAGACAAAAGGGCAGCCAAACCATCGGAGAGAAGGTGTGCTGAAACCATCACAACTGATTGACTGCTCCAAAACTGGTAGTATAAGTTCTGTTACTTGTAGTGGCAGTATTATTTTACTAGTTTTGTGTGTGTTACTTTGATTAATAAATCTCTATTACACATTAATTGGATTGTCGGGTCATTATTTGAACCTCGGGATCGGAAATCCCAACAGAGGCGCTCCCTTCTCTTTTGAAATAATGCCATGGGATCTTTCCTGACATCCCTAAGAGCCCAAACCTCCAAAACTCTGATCTCTCTCTTTAAAGATGGAATATCTAAACTAGCCACAGATTGAAAATTGAAGTATTCAGGGGAGGGACATTGCCACCGCCCATCAGCATGTTACAACAGATTCAATGTGAAGCTGGGATTGGAATATGGCATATTATCTATCTGCCTGTTTCAGGGACTAATATTGGGAGAAATATGTAATATGACGACTGTACAGGTAAAAACAGTTGAGCTGCAAAATGGTGAGCTTGGTAACAGTGGGCTTACTGAGAGAAAATATTCTCTCTTTCAAGGAAAGCAATGAATGCTGTTGTTGTTTTTCTGAGCTACGTGCAGATAGATAGTGAATTATATTGGAGGGATCTATTCTGAGTTTGCAGGCTTTAAAACCTGCATTCTCGGTGGTGCTGTCCACCAGATGCAATGGTAAATGAAGAATCTCTGGCTCTTGAGGTGGATGTTTCAAATCCCATGACGCCTTGGAAAAACAATGGCCACAGGCAGCATTGGGGACAGGTAAAGGGGCACGAGAAGGGGTTTGCAGCAGCAGAAGCAGACGAGTGTGTCCCAGCTTGCAGTCAGCATGATGCAAACGCTTATGAAGAGCAACTTACTCAAGTCTTTGATAGGCTTTTAAACAATGAGGAAGAACAGAAACGCTCAGAAGTGCCAGCCATCTGATGACGGCAGTACTAAGCTGCAGGATGCACAAGCAGGAGACGACGTACTGGGAAGGGGGAAGGCGTGCTGCCAAGGATGACGGCATCGAGCAGCCTGCTGTCGCATGTGAAGAAGCTGTTTGCTCACAGAAAGTAGGCATTAATGTCAGGCTGGCTCAGTTGGAGCACTCTCCCCTCTGGGTCAGAAAGTTGTGGATTATGTGAGGACCCTGAACTCACTAACTACGCGATATTCGAGTATGCTGCACTGTCTCAAGTGCTGGCCTTCAGATAAAATGTTACATAAGAACATATGAATTTGCTCAGCAAAAGAAGATCAAGGTCCATCTAGTTTGCCTTCCACCATCCTGGCAGTCGCTTCACACATGTCGTATCCCAAACTATATACTGTATCCTGAGATATTATTTTCTAGCAGACATCTATCTAATTTGTTCTTGAAACAAACAACATTTTTTGCTTCCACAGTCACCCTAGGGGGCCTGTTCCATAAGTTTACTACTCGCTCAATTAAATAGTGTTTCCGCAGATTTATTCAGAATTTACCTCCCTTCAGTAGTAGGCTGTGTCCTCTGGTTCTAATGTTCAGTACAAGATGAAACAGCTTATCATAGTCTACATTATCTATTCCCTTCAAAATCTTAAAGACAGTAATCATATCACCTCTCAACTTTCTTTTCTCCAGTGTGAACATGCCCAGAAGTTATGTTTGACGATTCAGGGGACCTTTAAAGACACCTATTTGAAACAAAACAAGGAGTTTCACCCAATGTTCTGAGCAACAATTCTCCAGATAAATTGATCATTCAGTTTATAGGGCATTGCTGCATTCGTCTACAGAACCTACAACTACACTTGAAGCAATTCCCTGTCAAATGTTTGGACGTTGTAAACTATATATTACGTGCAAGGAATATTTATTATATTATACACCAAAGTTTCACTTATTGTGATGGCATTAAAAAACATTACTTTGAAGAGAATGACAGAACATGAAACTTTTGGCTCTTATTTTTGGATACCCGTCATTATTCTTAGATAACATTCCGCACATCAAAATCTCACCCACTACAATTGCTTTGAAATGAGGAGGCTGAGGATTTATGGATGTTAGGTGGTTGCTGCTGGATTCTGTCACAAGATTCGATTCTGGACACTCTGAAGAGAAATATGGAAGCAAGGAATGAAATCCTACTTTTCCAAAAAAGGAAACATAGTAAAGCCACCACCAAAGACATCCTTAATATTTCCGACTTCTGCAGTTATTTTGCCATTTGATTGTGGCACAGAAGGTGATGACTGTGCTGTTTAATAATACTTGCTTTTGGGCCCTGCACTTTGAAATTCGGCTAAAACACTCAGAAAATGTAACCAATTCACTGTGGAGGTTTACAAAGGTGTCTAACATGCAGCCATTCAAACAGGATTCCTAATTAAAACATTCTGAACTTGGACTCCTTCTGGTGACAGGACCAACAACAACAGCAACAAAATTACATTTGTATAGTGCCTTTCATGTTGGGAGGACGCCCCAAGGTCC